GCACCATATAAGCAATGACCTTGCCACAGTTCTTAAACACCCTCTTTCCACCAGGTTGGCTGGAGAACAAGGCAACAACGGAGAGACATCTTCTGCCGCGAGTTCAGAAGAAGTCTTATGTGCATATGTCCCCAATGAAAAGCATAACTGACTACGGACTGCAAATAATCATGGTGATAATATCACTATACATGATTACATAATTTAATGAACGCAACTACTCTATACCACACCGCCCCCGAAACTGTTGTTAGTATCCTCCCCAGTTTGGGGCATTCTGACATCAAAATTAACAGCAGAGGGCCTTAAGAGATAACAAAGCTGATCACCTTTGGTGTAGGAACATGTAAAACTTCAATAAAGACACACAGAAAATAAGCAGTGCTTTTTCAGAGTTCATTAGAAAAATCTATTGCATAACTTGGCAGAACATCTTGACAAACATGCCAGCACAGCAAATCCCATCGGAGGCGGTGATTTAAGGCCACTGGGATTCAAATGTAGTTTCACGCGCTACAAAGCGCCAAATAAAAATGAAACTAAAGGCACCTCAACCAGTGACTTCTCTTCCACAGCACACTAAAAACCCCTCAATGTCCAGGACAGCCCTCACACGACTAACACACTGCCAGTCGACCAAATCAGCCTGCCTTGGCTAAATGCAGCATTCAGATTTGACATGACCGCACCCAACTTCACCATCTCTCCTTGAAATCTCCTTTCCGCCCCCCAGTAAAGCCTTCTCTCTTTTCAACAGCACTTTGCTCTGCTTCTCAACGAAACAAACCCACTGCTAATGACCTACGACTTTTGTCAAATCACTGCAGAACGGAAGGGACACGGAAGATGGCAGAATTAACTTGTTCTTCTTGTTGTGGCTGAGTTTTCCCTGCATCCCCCAGACTGTTTTTCCCACGAACGGTAAGCACACCTCAACAGTAGCTATGATCTCTGCATTTAGAAAACTACCTGCAGTCAGGATTCAAATGAACTATAATTTGTCAAGCAGGACAACAACGTAATCTCTGCGTAACGATACACTTCAAGGCAAGCCTATCGTGGCTTAAGCCACCTAGTAAGGTGGTGGCAGACCACGAAAAACGAAGCACCTGGATCGTATCGTTCAGAGACAAAGCTAGAGCCTTGGCTTCCAAATCTGCTGCAGCCACCGTACCAACACCAGGACCCCAGCAGTTCAACGAGTTCTCTGGGGCCTTCCAGTATTCAATTTACTTACTGCAGTGCTGCTCTTGCCAAGTCATGTGGCATAAGATCCGCATACCTGGAAGTTAAAGAAGAGAGGCAGAAACTTAGGGGTGTCAGAAACCCATACGGATGTCTGCTTCCCCACTGTAACCACACATCAGCAGCAAAGAACTGGTGACGTACCAGAAACACTCGATTTTTTTAACGGTTTAACACAACACGTTGCATTTCTAATCAAATATTTCATATCCCAGGTTGTGCAGACTATCTGTGTATAGGTCAGCAGTAACAGAATAATCCATCCTAACTAAGAGTTAGGTCCGGTCCTAATTCAGCTGTGAATTTGGTGGCCTAGCAGTCCAGCGAGAAGAGTCTACAGCAGATTCTCTGCACCTCTTCTGCTAGTTTTGTGAAAATCGTTGCTTTATCTGCTATAGATTCACCAGCAGCTTCCACTAGACGTGCAGCATAAATCCTCATTCTTCTCAGAATTCATACCCATGGGCAATCTTCTTCAAACCACGTTTTTTCATTAGGTAACCTGGAATAACTGTAGCAGCCTAACTCATTGCCACTTCAGTACTTTTAAGCACAAGAATAAGTACAATAAAATGAACGGGTAAGCCAGCATTTTTCACAGAAAGATTCTGCTATTAAGCAAGGCAGCACGTATTCTTATTGTATACTTACGAGGTGCCAGACTGCAAAAACGGAATACGGACGCCCTCTACCACAACGATATTCTTCACACCACTTTTGGCCAAAGTCTTCTTACTCTTAGGCTGGACTGCTAAGAGAGAAGGGATGTTAACAAGAATACCAGCAAGCTTAAAGAGCATGTAAAATGCACTAGAAAACTAGGGAAACTGTTCTCTTTTGGTGCCTAAGTCAAAAGCAGAGCAGATAGAGACAAGATTACAGTTCAGGTGTCCTGTCTGGCTAATTATGTGATCAGTGAGAAACAATTTAACAACTCGGTATGTCCCGTATCAGCAGTCATCTGTAGCTACACCGAGGCAATGGTACAGTTGAGAACAAAGGCACATAACTCCCAGTCTCTGTTACCACTGAGAAGAATGCTGCAGGAAGAGATACCTCTAAAAATGCTGCACAGTTTACAACATGAACGAGGCAGATCAAATTGAAAGCCTGAGTAAGATCTCTCACTTGGGGAGCAGCAAGGACCGCAAACAGCAATCCACCTTCCACAGTAACTGCCTATACACGTGCTCTTGCTGCACAGTGAAGGTGAGATAACTCAAGGTAAATCAAAACACAGTTCAAGAAGTCAACTAACTTTCACTCCCATAGGAAAGCAGTAGCAAGAAGAGTGCAATAGTTGCTGTGGGTAACTTGCTACTTCGCTGTAAAGCATCTCAGGTTCAAGACAAAGCATGTCATGGTACAGTATTGTTCAACAGGCCACTGTCAGAGCTCTTCTGGAGTGATGATTAACAAATAGTTCAACAAGAATTTCCCAATGTAATCAGGCCTGAAAATCTTAATGAGCATATACGGCAGCATGGGGCAGCTCCCCATGTCCACAAGCTCGAAAAGGACAGAGACTCGTAAAATCAGGTTAAGTCCAGCTAAATACTGTACTCAAGCAGTACTCAAGCAAGTTGGAGGATGAAACTCCAGCACTGTTCTCGGGTTATACAAGGCTCTCTGCCCAAAGCCACGGAGTCGAGGGGGAGCTGCTGCCTCGGCCAGTTTCCAAAACCCAGGCAGCTCAAAGCATTAAGTCACCTGAGCAACCCCCACAGCGAATCCCAGAACGCCGGATCACCTCAACCGCTCGCTAAGGACCACAGCTAATAACCCACATAACTGTGCGAGTCCAGCGGCTCCACTGAGACCTGAGCCTCTTACTGGTCTCACTGGACTTCAGAGCTAATTCCACAAGCTTCTCCTTGTCAGGGACAATCCCCTCCTCTCTGGGCAAGCGATCTGGTTAGGCCCAGAGAGCTTACAAACTTCAGCCTCTCTGTTTAGATTCTAGAAATAGCAATCTATCAGGTGACAACGGGGCGTGAGCTCTGGACTGGGAATAGCTGCTGGGAGCGAGGGACACTCAGAGGTTGAAAGGACTCTGCTCCAAACAGTGGTTTGCCTGTAGTTTTATTTGTTTGCAACTTTTTTGAACTAAGGCTGTCTGCACTCTATTTCCGAAATTTATGTCGACCAAAACTCTGGAAAAGGGAGGCAGCTTCAAAAATAGTCTTCTCTAGCACAGTCCCACTGAGGTTCCTGGTGTTTTCACTTTACCTGCGGCTTGTAACTGTGAAGAACAGCTGAGCGACCGAGCAACTGAAAAACAAGAAACGAAGAAGTAGGATCTATCAAACCTGAAACGTTAAAAACATTTCTAGTTTCTGTAAGAACTGTTAAAAAAAGAAGATAATGTCATATTAAGACAACTGCACCTGAACATCTGTGAGATTTTTTTAGTTTACTCTGCTCATAAAAATGACACAGTTCATATTACCCGTTAACATCAGATTTCTCCCACATCTGATGTGGGAAGGGACAAATATGGCAACAATGGAATTAGTTATTTTAAAAACAACATTGTCACCTTTTTTAAGATGGCAATGAAACAGAGATTCAGATACAAGCATCCCTTCCAAATCCAACACTTCAAACAGAACTTTACGACCTACCAATTCAAGCTTTTAATAAACGTGAAGATACTTACAGGCCCTGGCAGCCCATGCTGAGGAAGCAGGGAGGTTTCTGATGGCATGGCTCAGCATGGAAGTCATTTTGATATCTAGAGAGCTGGAGAAAAACTGATATTAGTCCGATCTGGTCTATTCGGAACTATTTCAAGGTAAGCGATCTGTGCTTCACACAGAGCCAAAAAAGTGAAGAAACAGAAGACACGCGAAGGGCAGCAGCACAGGGAATTACTTCCTATTACACTGTTTGAACACGAGGAGGCTGGCTTATGACTGTGGCCTGCAAACGCTCCTGTAAATAAATACTCGTCTCCCCAGTGACCCACCACCGTACCAACAGCAGCCAGCGCAGTTTTCAATTCCCCTCCCAATAACTGTTCCACCACTTCCCCACTGGAAAATTGTCCCAGTGCCCAGCCAATCTCGCTGCCAGCGTGACTCTCCTGACGCACTCTCCTTGGCACAATTTCATGCCACTACCCCTCGTTTTAACTGTTGATGCTAACTTCAGTAACTTCCGTCGCGTATCCCCACGGGAAGCAGAACAAGTTGGTACCCACTACCCCAAAAATTTTCTCTGTAGCATTCCCAAAGCACCTTCAAACAGGGTTTGCCTACAAACAAATCCTCATCTGCAGTTTTTATTGCCCAGGGCAAAAACCGATCGTCTCAGCTCCAGTTCTTTGGCTGCTTCACAGCGACGTTCACCTCAGTCATGCTTTTAGCATTTAAGCTAACAGCTCTCTCCCAAATACACACACTTTCCCTAGAGGGTAAGAGAAACCCCTGCAGTCCCAAGCCCAGCCCACTCGGGCATTGCAGCTCTCTACAGCTTCTCAAAACTCACCGTAAGCTGCCAGCCACCCCCTTCCACGTTTACATCTCACACCCTACAGCTCCACACCTGCAACATACCACGCAGCTTTCCTCATTCACTAGCCAGCTCCGGCTCCGCTGGCAACCCACAAACCAAATCCAGGCTCCTGACATTGGTAAAGGTCCAGAAAACAACCCTCCTCCTCCCCAGCATCCTTCTCTGTGTCATCCCTCTGCAACAGTGCTCTTCCTCCATCTGTGCCAAGCTCCCTCCCCACACCCGATTGAAGCTTTTCCCCACGTCTTCTCTGCCCAACTGACAAAATAAAATTGCAGAATAGTTTAGGTGGGAAGGGACCGCTAAAGGCCATCTAGTCCACCCCCTGCCCTGGGCAGGGACATCTTCAACTAGACCTGGTTGCTCAGAGCCCCGTCCAACCTGGCCTGGAATGTTTCCAGGGATGGGGCAGCCACCACCTCTCCAGGAACCTGAGCCACTGTCTCACCACCCGCACAATCAAGAATTTCTTCTTGATATCTAGTATAAATCTCCCCTCTTTCAGTTTAAACCCATCACTCCTTGTCCTATTGCAATAGGCCCTGCTAAAAAGTCTGTTCCCAGCTTTCTCATAAGCGCCTTTCAGAGACTGGAAGGGGCTCTGAGGTCTCCCCTTTTTGGCCTTCTCTTCTCCAGGCTGAACCCCCCCAACTCTCCCAGCCTGTCCTCCCACCAGAGGGGCTCCAGCCCTCCCAGCATCTCCGGGGCCTCCTCTGGCCCCGCTCCACCAGGTCCATGTCTCTCCTGTGCTGAGGCCCCCGAGCTGGAGGCAGCACTGCAGGGGGGTCTCCCCAGAGCAGAGCGCAGCAGAGGGGCACAATCCCCCCTCGCCCTGCTGGCCACGCTGCTGGGGATGCAGCCCGGGGTGCCGGGGG